CCGGGCCTGTGCCTTGCGCACCTCCCTGGGCAGCTCACCCTGCTTCGCCAGTTTCTCCCATAGCTGCTCCTTTCGCCTGAGCTTCTTGGCATTGGGGACCTGGTGTGCGAGGATGCTGGATAAGGGGAGAGTAGGCTCCTTGTGAACTGGCTCCACACACACCTCACGTCCCTACTGCGGGTGGATCTGAGCATCCAGAACATCACACCTCCCCACACTCCACGTCAGGGCATGGCCTGCTGGCCTCTCCTCTCCTGGGGCTGACACTAAGCCTGTATCTCCTACACGCTGGAGCCTCTCTACCCAACAGCCCCTACCAAGTCCAGGCTACCCTGATGCCTTGGTGCCAGGCTGAATCCTCTAAGACACTCTCCAGAGATCCAGCTATACCTTAATCTGCCCTCCCAACTGCCTCTATCTCCCCACCTTTCCGCAAAAGTCTTCAGGGCCCAGGGCCAAAGGAACTCACTCTTTGGGAGCAGGGACCTTAGAAGGATTCTCAAGGGCAAGGTCAACCCGAAGGGGTTTCTGGAGACGCTGAGACTTCTTCTGGACCCAGGTCCTCTTGTTTGGTTCTGCAGCAGAGGAGAATCCTCGCCTTAGGCCTCCCCATCTTCATCAACCAATCCCCAACTTCAGGTCAACGAGGACCAGACAGCCTGCAACCCAGGCTATCTATCCAGCACACACCCCAAGGGTTCCAAACTCATCACGCTCACCTGCAGGGGAAGACCCCAGAGGCCCAGATCTGATCCACCTATGACCTAGGCCAGCAAGAGGCAGGCCTTGAGGGGACCCACCTGGAGGGACTCAGAGACACAGAGGGAAAGGACCTCAGAACTAACAGGGACGAGGGAAGGCATCCTGGATACCAAGACTCAAGAAGGACCTGCTGTAGCCATCTCTCAGCACTCGGCTTTCTACCTCCAAAGGCCACCAGGTAAAGCAAGAATTCTACTGCACAGCACACTAAGGAGGCTGAGTACGGTAGTTACACCTGAAATACTAAGCCCTGGAGGCTGAGGCAGGAGGATTGAGTCGTTGGCCAGTCTGAGATAAACAGAGAGAACCTAATTCCACAAGTTAACAGGGGATGGGATGTAGCACTGCAAACAGTAATAATAACGGCAGCAGCAAGACGCCATGAAGCTGAGTGATGGACTCTAAGCTGGCTCAATGGCAAAGGCTCTTGCTGCCAAGGCTGACAAGCTGGGCTCAACCCCAGGAACCCACAGGGTACAAATGACTCCTACATGTTATCCTCTGACAAAATGTGTGCTATGGCATGTGCATGTAAACACACGGAACAAATGTAAACACAAAAACTGAATGCTAACTTTCTTTAGGGATAAAACTTTGTAGCTTGATCCTGGCGGTGGTGGGTCAAGTCTTTCATCCCAGCACTCAGGAGGCAGTCAGGCAGAACTCTGTTGAGTTCGAGGCCAGCCTGGTCACAAAGAAAGTTCCAGGACAGCCAGAGTTGTTACACAGAGAAATTCTACCTCAAAATAAATAAATAAATAAAAAATGTCTGTAGCTTGGCCTGTTGGCTACCTGTAATCCAAGCACTTGGGAGGCTGAGACAAAAAGATGTGAGTTCCAGGCCAGCCTAACCTACACAGAACCCTTTAGCTAGGCTGGGCACAGAATAAGATCTTGTTTTAAAACAAAAACAAGACCTAGAAATCACTAAGTTGAGCAAAAATAAGCCAGACTCAGATAAACATTGTTTTCCCTTATGTGTAGAACCTAGATTTTTTTTTTTTTTAAATGAATCTTTTTGTGTTTTCGATACAGGGTTTCTCTTGTAGCTTTGGAGGCTATCCTGGCACTCGCTCTGGAGACCAGGCTGGCCTTGAACTCACAGAGATCTGCCTGCCTCTGAGTGTTGGGATTAAAGACTTGTGCCACCAATGCCCGGCCTTAGAACGTAGATTTAAAGTTACATGGTATATGCCTTTTATTCCAACAGAGACAGGCATATTTTGGTGAGTCCAAGACCTGCCTGGTCTGCACAGCAAGTTCCAGGCCAACAAGGCTGAATACTGAGACCTTGTGCAAACAAACAACCCAAAACAAAACAACTTCCACAGATGTCACAAAATTGGAAAGGAGACCATGAGACAGGGAAGAGACAAATGGCCCAGCAGTTACACATACTTAAGTGTCTGCATAAGGTGTGTGTGTGTGTGTGTGTGTGTGTGTGTGTGTGTGTGTGTGTGTATCAGTTCCCAGCACTCCCACGGCGGCTCACAACTGTCTCTGTCTCTAACTCCAGTTCCAGGAGATCTAATGCTCTCTCTCTCTCTCTCTCTCTCTCTCTCTCTCTCTCTCTCTCTCTCTCTCAGATTTTATTTATTTATTAGATATACAACATTCTGCTTCTACACCAGAAGAGGACACCAGATCTCATTACAGATGGCTGTGAGCCACCGTGTGGTTGCTGGGAATTGAACTCAGGACCTCTGGAAGAGCAGTCAGTGCTCTTAACCTCGGAGTCATCTCTCCAGCCCCTAATGCTCTGTGTGTTCTCTGGGGGCACCATGCACACACGTTGCATATACACTCGGAGGCAAAGCACTCAGACACATAAATAAATCTAACTTTTTTTTTTTTTAAACAGAGGAAACAAAGGAGGGGCTATCAGAAGTGAACCAGCTAGAGAAGAAGATAGGGAGGGTAGAAGGGAAGGGAATAAATGAGAATAACCTATGGTGACATTGAAACATGATGGAACCCATTTCTTTATCTGCTAATGTAAAAATTAGCTTAAAAAAGAAAAAGTTCATGTGCCCCCAGGCAGTTTCCCTGGCTTCTCCTAACCTTGTCAAGAAAGTCTTGTTTTCATTAACAGGATCTTCTGGCTCATGTTGTCAATGTTAAGGCGCTGTTTGCTGGCAAAGCTCCCAGCTTGCCCTGCAAAGCCATTGGTTGTCCTGCTTGACCAGGCACCGGCTTGTTTTCAGTACCGGTGTTTTTCGGCCACATTGGTGAAAACCCCAATTACTCATCAAAGCAATCCCTAACTTGCCCTGGTTTCCGTGTCTCAGCAAGCCCAAACCCAAATTCTAACGGGGTAAAGCCAGCTTGTCAAGACATGTTTCCTACTTACTGGCTAAAGCAGATCCTCTTGTTCTCTTTGTTTTGAGACAGGATCCCACTGTGCAGTCCTGGCTGTCCTGGAACTCACTATGTAGACCAGGCTGCCCCTGAACTCAGAGATCTACCTGCCTTCTGCCTCAAAAGTGGTGGGATTACCACACCCACCATCATGCTCTTTTGAGCAGAGGGCTGGGGGGATATAGCTCAGTGATATTTGCCTCGCCATGTGTGAGGTCTGGATTTAATTTCCAGTGTTGAGAAAAAACAAACAAGGTTGCCTTTCTTAAAATAATCTCAAGTCAGCTGGGCGGTGGTGGCGCACGCCTTTAATCCTAGTGCTTGGGAGGCAAACGCAGGTGGATCTCTGTGAGTTCGAGACCAGCCTGGTCTACAAAAGCTAGTTCCAGAACAGAATCCAAAGCTACACAGAGAAACCCTGGGGGCTTGGGGGGGAAATAATCTCAAGCCTTCCCTCCATCCTATTTAAGTTGGTTCCTTCTAACCTGTTGTGGTAGAGTACACCTTTATAAGCAGCACTCAGGAGACAGAGGCCAGCAGATCTCTACGTTTGAGACCAATCTGGTATACATGGTGAGACTCTGTCTCAAAAAAAAGAAAAAAAAAATATTTTGTTGTTGTTGTTGGTGGTGGTTTTCTTTCTATAGCCTGAACTTGCTATGTAGGCCGGGCTGGTCTTAAACCGAGGTCATCCATCTGCCTCTCCCTCCCAAGTGCTGGAACTACAAGCATGTGCCACCACGTTCCCCTAAAATGCTGGCTTTTAAAATCCTATCACCAGTACAGACCCCACGTGATGCAAAACTCACCCAAGATCACAAAAGCGCTCCTTACCTTTTTTCTTGGATCCAGTGTCCACGAAGAAGAGCTTTTCATTGGGGGCCTCGGCCAACAAGCCACTGGAAGATAAGAAATGCAGACCGCTAGCCAACAGAACGCCGGGAAGACAACGGACACGGCTAAGGTGGAGCCTCTAACTCTTTGGCCCATTCCAACACCTCCTCAAACCCTGGGGTCCTTCCAGAGTACGTCTGGGGCTTTCCCATTACATCTTGTGGGATTAGAAAACGTACCACGCTGGGATGCACGGATGTTATCTTCCCACTCACTTGAAATTCGATGGGGGGGGGGCTCAAGGCTTTATTTAATCCTAGCACTCGGGAGGCATCGAGGCCAGCTTACATACACTTGCTGTGTCTACATAGGACTACATTTGCAGAGGGCCAGGCCATCCAGGACTGCCTGGTGCGGCCCTGTTCCAAAAATTAAATAAAAACTAAATCAGTTTAAACTTTGTTGCAATTTCTGTATACTTGTTAAGGTCTTCGGGGAGAGGCCAGCTTACATACACTTGCTATGTCTACATAGGACTAGATAGGACTACATAAGATTACATATGCAGAGTGCCAGGCCATCCCTAGTGCGGCCCCGTTCCAAAAATTAAAAATAAAAACTAAATA